GTATTGCTATACAAAGTAAGTAGGTAGCAATAAACTGACCATCCTATCAGTAACAAGAGTCAGTTAAAAACGGAAAAGCCAATGCAACTAGATTACAACACCAAACCCAAACTAAGTGTTTTGTTCTTTCTAAGTTAGGCTTAATTTTGCATTCAGAAACGTCACATTTTTTCTCTTCAGGATCCCTCACAAAAGGCAACAGTACAGGATGATCTCAGCATGCTGATGTTCTGCCAGCTGGCTGCTCCCCCATCGCAAGGAACGCGGCTCACGTCTTGCATCTAGCTCGTTCCAGACAACTGCATCCTTCAGTAATAGTTTTCACAGGACAGAACCCCCAGGCAATTCAGATTCCCCTGTTTGATCTCAGAGGTAGTAGTGAACTAAAGTGAATACTGAATAAAGACTGCAATTAAACTTTGTCAAGCTTTCTACTTCCTTTCAATTTTCTATTTACTACCTCCAGTAAGGTTATGTGACTGAAGTCTACATAATTCCTCTCTTTACAAAAGAGGAAGGGAAACAATGCAGAATAAAGTTTACGCTATTCTGTTCCTTATTCAAGTACTGATGACACTTGCAATTAAATCAAGTATTTTAAACAAGTCATACTGCATAAACACCTCACAACATAAACAACAGTTTCAGGGAAAGGTAATAAGGTTGTACAGAACAGTGCCATCTGTCACAATAAGGCAGAAATGAGTCATCTCACCTTCTAGTACATATTCTTGTAAATGAACAGAAAAATAAGGGTGGAGATTAATTGTTATGACCTATTTCATATTTGTTTCATTTCTACAATAAAGAATTATATCCTTTATTATATCATAGAATGGTTTGGGTTGGAAGGGACATTTAAAGACCATCTAGTTCCAACCCCCTTACCATGGGCAGGGACACCCTCCACTAGACCAGGGACACCCTCCACTAGATCGGGTTGCCCCCCCCACCTGGCCTTGAACCCCTGCGGGGGGGGGGCCCAGCCACAACCTCTCTGGCCAACCTGTTCCAGTGCCTCACCACCCTCACAGTAAAGAATTTCTTCCTTATGCCCAATCTAAATCTACTCTCTTTTTTAGTTTAAAGCCATTACCCCTCGTCCTATCACTCCATGCCCTTGTAAACAGTTCCTCTCCAGCTTTCCTGCAGGCCCCCTTCAGGTACTGGAAGGCTGCTAGAAGGTCTCCCCAGAGCCTTCTCTTCTCCAGGCTGAACAACCCCAGCTCTCTCAGTGTGGTTTCATGGGAGAGGTGCTCCAGCCCTCTGATCAGCTTCGTGGCCCTCCTCTGGACTTGCTCCAACCGGTCCATGTCCTTCTTGTGCTGGGGCACCCAGCGCTGGACGCAGTACTCCAGGCGGGGTCTCACAAGAGCAGAGTAGAGGGACAGAATCACCTCCTTCAACCTGCTGTTCATGCTTCTTTTGATGTGGCCCATGATACGGTTGGCCTTCTGGGTTGCAAGTGCACACTGCGGGCTCACGTTGAGCTTTTCATCTGCCAACACCCCCAAGTCCTTCTCCTCAGGGCTGCTCTTAATCCATTCCTCGCCCAGCCTATAGTTGTGCTTGGGATTGCGCTGACACATGTGCAAGACCTTGCACTTGGTCTTGTTGAACTTCACGCAGTTCACATGGGCCCACCTCTCCAGCCTGTCAAGGTCCCTCTGGACAGCATCAAATAATGAATGAATACTTCATTCATTAGGTTTCCTTCCTAAGCTTTATTCTTTACTAAAATAGTTCTACTATACTAAACCAGCAGAAAGAGCTGCACTGAATCCATCACTTCATAGCTTTAAAAGTGAGAGTAGCAAATAAGTTCCTAAAGCCTCCTCCCAAGAAAACAATATAAATTCTGTCCTGATGATAAAATTGAGGTGTTTAGAAGGCAAGTCAAACAAGGGGAGAGGAGTATGGAGGAGTTTTCACATTTTTCCTTCTGATCACTTCATTCATCAACTACCAGCCAAAACCTCTACTTCTTGCTCCACTTGACAACCCACCTCCTTCCTTTCAGTATATTTAATAAAAACATATAGTGTATCTTTGTATTTTGTTATGTCTCCTTCACAAGCCACAGGACTGCCCTGCATTTATGACAATAACTCTTGACAGCTCTTTCCCCCACAGAGAGAGCAAGCACAGAACTGCACATCCATTGCAGGCTCTTGGCAGGTTCAACACGGAACTAGCTCAATACTTGGTGTCCTAAGTACAGCACTTCTATTTGTTCTTCTCTCCTCTTCATGAAAAAGCGTGTGCAACTCAGGACATGCATGTACCCAACATTTATCAGTCCAAACCAAACATTTTATCAGGTGCTTTTCTTACAAATACCAACCCATCCAGCCTTGCAAAACATGCAAGTGGGCAGCAAGCCTGGCAAGACCCATTTTAATAATTGCATCTCAGTTTACAGCTTACATGTCTGCCCACTCCCTTACATCTTAAGAACTTATCGCAATAGTGTAAATAAAACTATGAGGAAGAAAATATGTAAAGAATGCATTCCTAATGCTAACAGAGTAGAAGCTAAAGAATGCTTTTTAAAAACAAAGAATGTTTTTAAACAGAAAGTGAAAAAGCAATAAAGCACTAGCAAGATATTTCTGTTCCAAAACATTACAAGATTTTTCACCACTGCCAACAAACCAGTGCACTAATTTCCTGAAATTATTGTTCTTATAGCAGGTGGAGACCATAAACAGACATGGAGAAACAGCTTTTGCAGAGCAATCATCCTCCCACTCCAGGCGTTCACTGTTCCTTTAACTCTGTCACCAGTGCCCCATGCAGTAGGACTGCACCATCGTACTTTAGGAGACACGTGCTGCATGAGGCGTAGGCTGGCTCAAGACCCACCTCCCAGTGAACAAGCAAGTTGTCACTCTACTCTTGAAGAAGCTCCTGAAGACAGTGATGCAACTCTGTCTACTTGGAGGGCTTAGCCCAAGTCACCGTTTGAGCCCCAAGTCTTTGGGGACTACTTATGTCTTCAGAACAAGTCAGGCAGACCCAACACCAAGCACTAAGGTTATAATACAAATATAAGGGTTACATTTTTTTATTAGTAGTAGTAGTATGCTGTTACTCTGTTTACTAATGCATTATCATTGTCACGGGGAAAAGAGCTCTACTGGTACTGGAAATTACAGAAAAATATTAGAGAAAACAAGTGCCTCAGTTCATTAAAGAGTCAGAATACTAACATTGCTGTTCAAGAGCCTTTGGTAAGTAACGTGCAGCCCCCTCATGCCAAACAGCTAAACTGACTGAAGAGAAAGCCACTTCTCCAGCTTGTGCCTACATATCACACGCTAAGTCACACAAAAGCCAATGGTAAAGCCCAAGGTCTCTCAGATGCATTGGTCAGTTGGCTTGTCATATAAACCCACAATCTACCCTGTATTAAATTACTTTTGATTGAATATAGAAAGTAAACTCTGTGTAAACCCAGTAATGGATATAAAATAAGACCTATTTTGTGAGATATTACTCTGAAGAGAGACATGGGAACCCAGGAACTAACCCTATCTTCATTCAGTTCTAGGTCTGACACATGCACCACTTTGAACAATTCACTCCCATGTCAAAACTTCAGTTTTCTTATCTGTGCAATGATACAGGCTACTTGCCCTGTCCTCACAAGCCTGTGTTTAGGTATGAAAACTGCCTTAAAAATGACATGTGTGTTTATTAGAACTAATTTAAACATATGAAATAGACTGAAGGTACAGACAGGATATCATAATATTGGCATTTCTAAAGTTTCAACAGAACTCAAGTAACGTTCCATGATATCACACACAAGAATCTAAGTAATTTTCAAGACAGCATAAAGCAATAATACGTGCAGGCAGTTTAAGGCAAGTTAATACCCAACTTCCACTGAAAACACTAAGCCTGCATGCCTAATTGCTCCAGGGGCCTTTGAAAATCCCAGCGAAAATGAACAATAAGCAGTAAATCAACCCTTTCAAAATGAAAGCAACCCCCTCACCTCCATTATCACAAGGTATTCCACAAAAATGTATTTCACTTACATAAACACATATTACATCATAACCGGTCAGAGACAGAGCTATCCAAGAGTGATTAATAGGATTAATAATATTTTATTAGCATTTGTTAGACAAATAAGGAAATCTAAGAGAAAAGGAAGATACAGGAATCAACAGAGGGTTTCTCTACAACAAGAAACTCACAAGGATTAACCAGAGAAACAGAAAGCTTTCATGAAGCTAAGGCTACTGTAATACGCCATGTGTTGTATCTACACTATGGCTGCCATATGAGAAATGGAATCTACTTAATTTTCAGAAGTGCTCAGATGAATCGAAAGACATTATTTCATTACTGCTTTTCTCATTGAAATTACTTCAGTCTAACAAGTCTTGGAGGAACATCTTTTATCACACTAAGAAAAAGGGTTTCATAGTTAAAAACTTGCTGCTCTTCCTTCTTTTTCCTCATTGGGGAAACAAACCTAAGTTTTCCATACAGGAAATCTAAACATAAAGTTCAAAGTGATTTTATGGAAGCAGACCTACATTTTTAAAGTGGCATGAAAAAATTTAAGGGTTGGGAGGAGGGAAAAAGCATTAGAGACTAACTCAAATATTAAAAATTAAGTTCATGCAACAATTCCCATCCATTTCCCTTCAAAGTGAAGTTGAGGTTTAGTCTCAGACATTTTCTTTTCAAATAAAGTGTAAATGTGAAAACAATAAAAGAATTAGGTACTGGCTTGCAGTCTACAGGACTGAAGCAAAAGATAGACAGGCACACATTACATTGTTAGTAAAAAGTTAACATACCTGTTACAGTAACTCAAAGACACTAAAAAAAAAAATCTACCTCCTTCACAAGACCAAGTCTAACCTCTATTTGTAGATCATCAATGTATTTTCATCAATGAAGTCATGGTCAGGCATACACATCTTTTCACATGTCAAATTTCTACCAGGGGGGGAAAAAAAAAAAAAGTATAAACTTACCTTGTCTTGATTTTCCTTATTTTTGTAACACAAATTTCCAATCAAACGAATGAGATGAGATTTAAAACCCACAGCTGGATGTGAAATTTCTTCCTGCCCTGTCATAGCATGTGTGGCGGTGAAAATATTTACAGCCTGTTTCCCAGCAAGATGAGTTAATCTCAGGGTATCTACAGAAAACAAGAATATTTTAATTAATTACCAGATGAAAAATTATTACTTTGCACAGAGCTTTACTACTAGGTTCAAATTTAATTAACATAATTTCAGATATTCAGCAATGTCAAAAGAACTTTGAAAGTTTTCTTAAATTTAATTTGTGCTAGTATAATCATACAAGGCGATCCCAAGGTTAGCAGGTATTTTTGCATCCTTTTTACACGCTTATATAGTGTCTGAAGTCTGGTGCTATCGGTCTCTACTTGAAGAATCAGAATTTGTAGCCTGTTGATAATTCTGACACCATAGATGTATTTCTAAACCCAAGGTAGTTAGTTCAAACTTGTCACAGCAACACATACTAACCGTAGAATGACTTTTTTCTCCTCTCTTCTCCAGTCTGTTCCTAGCTCTGTAATATGAGAAAAGATTTCTAGTACATCTAGCACTTTGACACATCTTTACAAATCCTTCAGTGCCATAATCTCACCAGCTCAGAAATACTAATGTTCCTATTTTTTAAATGCTAGTTTAGAGCAACTAGGATTTTTTTCTACAATGATCCAGAGGGAAATCAGGAAAAGGGAAACTAAAACATGTGAAAACAACATTCCACAAAGAGACCACACCCAGAAGAAAAGTTGAAATCCTATGAACACCTGAGAGCCCGTACAGCTGAGCAGCCAATTCAGTAACAGCTGAACCTATATTTAAAAATTAAGAAGTACTTTTCCTCTAAGCAACCTGCAATACCAATAAATGGCCTGGCATGCCATTGTCCCCAAGATGCTTCGTGCAACTTGCATCGGAGCAACAACGCAGCAAAACCATGTTGTAGCACAGGGTGGTAATTAAGCCCTATGCTCCCTCTGCTCTAGATGTGACAACATCCATAGTGGAATGGGCACTAGATTTTCTGGATTTAAATTAGAAGAAACTTCATAGGCTACCATATTATAGTTTCATTCCCAGACAGCTGATACAGGAGAAGAAAAAAAACCTCTGTGTTGATAAAGAGGTTAAATACATTTTTGGTAGTTCTTTTAAAATATGAAACTATAATGGGGCCTAGAGGCCTCCCGCAGGAGAGCTACCACTTCATTTGTTCATATTTTGAAATAGGAAAAAACCAATCAATCTCCTGATTGCCCCTAAAAAACATCATCAGAAAATAGCTTTTTAACACAATCTTCTATTTGCTTTTGTAAATTCGTGAAAATCAGCAGTGTCTCATATCCTTCTCATGGCATTCATTTTGTGTGCTTCCTTGCCATACAGCCCTAGTATTTTCTCACACACAAACACGTAAGAATTCCACGGTCTTCCTAAACCTTCTGCCTGCTTGCCCTTAAGAGGGACCCTGAATGAAAGAATTAAAAACAAAAAATAAAACAAAACCCCCACAAAAACTAAATAAAACTCTTCAGATTTTATTACACTGGAGACAAAAATGCAATGAGCAATGCATCCACCTGGAGAGTTACAGGAAAATGTGGAAGAAAAGCAGCCACCTTCCATGCATGATGCCAACCCAGAGAGAACAGCGTTCCTCAAACACTGCACATCAACACACCACAGCAACTGCTCCCAGTACGTCACCCATGCTCTCAACTAAAGGACATCTCAGTCTGCCATTCTCTCATTATCCCAAAGAGCAATTCCTCCAAAATGCCCCTCAATCCTCCCTGGTGATATTCCTCAAACACTGTGCACAGTGCAAGCTGTAAACAGTGCTAATGATATTATTAACACTGCAGGGTTACTGTCTACCTTCATCCAACCATTACTGAAAAATAGCAAAACACACTCCTTAGTTGATACTTAAAAGATCATTCACATATTTTTCAGATCTTTCAAGCAATCTTTCAGTAATTTCCAATAGGAAATTTCTCATGGTGTACACTGAAGAATGGCTTCATCAAAAGGTCTATTAGATGAAAATCTTTTGCACTATCCAGTCTTACTCTTCTGATCTTCAGAACTAAAGACTGAAGGTGATAAAACACATCAATACAGTTTTTTGCCCTTTTTTGCTAATCTAGGATTAAAGGAATCTTGTAGCCAAAAGTAGTCTTAAAGACAAATTATACAAGTTGATGAATTCCTGTTGGCTGAGGACATGTGGGAAACACGTAGGATGCACACGGTAGCAATGTTTTAGCCTGCACCCATTTCTCTGCAGCTGTCTCCATGCTAATGAAAAGTCAGTCTGCACACAGCTAGAGAAAGGAGGATTGGCCTATATGCTGCTAAACTTAAGTGATCTGCAGCTCCTGGAAAGCGTCATTTAAGTTGAAAGACTTATACAAGCATTCAGATGCATAACTTTGAGTCTCCTCAAAACACACACACACAAAACAGATCTTGTTGTTAGTCATCTTACTGTAAGCAATAAAACTATGAACCTGTCATCAAAAATAGAGGTTTGGTTGTCTTGGTTTTATTTTTTTTACAGCAAGGACCCTCCAAACATCTCAAAATAGTTGTAGCTAACAGCTGTTTCAGGCTTTTTTGCCTTTTGTTTGTCTGTTTAAGTCAAAGTATCAGGTATTTCTCTTTAAAATCCATAAACTTTTACAATTTTCTCAGAAAATGGTAGGATACCTCAGTCTCAGAAAGTGTTGAGATTTAGGAAAGCACAGGTCAGGATATGTATACTTCCTCCTCCTTCCTCCCCAAGTACATAGGGTCTCTCTGGACCACCTTGGCTTAATTGTTCTTTGCGTACAGCTCTCTGCTTGCTGTTTCTTAGCAGAAGAAAGCTGCTTTCAAATCGACCTTTAAAAGTGACTGAATTTGGTTAAGAACATTCAAACTATACTTAGTTTCAGTGTTCAGGAATTTGGGAAACAGAAGGGTACAGGCATGGAAAAGTCCTTTTTCTACATCTTGAGGAAATTCTTCCACATACATTCAGCCAGTGGAAGAATATAGGAAGCAGCTGTCCTTTGCCCAACTCTTCCTGTATAAATAGCGCATTGCTGACAGTTGAATCAAGGCTCTGTTGGGTAATAGGAGCCAACAGAGCGAGTAGAGAAGCAGAAAAATTCCAGGAACAAATCAAATATTTGAAAATGTAGATTAACTCAATCTCCTATTTATTTATTTTATTAAAAGGTCAGAACGATAATTACCACCAGTTGTGAAAAACATGTTTTCATTCACAGAGCAACACGACTTGGAGGTAGCCAACAGTTAATAAACCTTGTGGCTTTTCACTCACCTATGGCTGTTTCAAGCAAACCAGGCAAAGCCTGTAGATGTTCTAGCTGTCTGTTTTTTGATGTCATTTCACAAAGAACATCAAGAAGACGAATTGTAACCAGTGCTTCCTGTAAATGAAAATTACATTTCTGAAAATGGCTTATGAAGGATACCATAAGAACATAAAACTGATGATCTAAACAGAGGACAGGAACTCTCAGCACCTCAGGTTCCTTGCAGATCTTCTAACTTGCCAAGAATAAATTTATATAAAATGAGGACATCTTTCCACAATAACAATAGTGTATTACACTGCAGTAATTTATTTTCTAAAGTCAGTGTTATATGTGACCTGAAAAATCATGGGGAAACCAAAAAACAGAGCCATAAGGGATAAAATTTTAACAAAAACACAGTAGCTTCCAAAAGCAGAAATGCAGAAAATTACTAGCTGAGAAAATTATTTCTGTATAAATGTTTTCTTTGAGTTTATTCAGCAGAAGCGTCCCACTTTAAAGACACAAACACCGCCTGCAAGACACCAATTTGTTATCCGCAGGAATTCTGTAAAGTTCTGTGGTCAAATGAACTTTGGCTGCGAGAATTTACATTATTCTTGGGTAAATAGGACTGGGATCATAGATGCAGCATTTTGGTTAGGTATGAAACACACAATTTTATTTGCATATTACTTATTCAGCCAGAGAACTATTTTTTCTCACAGACTATGTTGATGAGTACTTATAATGACAATCCAGTGCTTACAGAAACTACCTTAAGAGCATATGGCATAATTTGGAACACCACATATTGCTCAAGAACCAGACTACGACTGCAAGATGATTCCACACAAGGTGTGGTACGTAAACTGCAAGTAGCCTTGAAAATGCTCTGACATAGGTCACAGTAACTATTCCTGCCTTGTCTGGTCCAGGACAAAGAGACATTTACTTACCAGAAGTATAATATTTTTAAATCCATATAATCAATATAACATAATTGAAATCACCAACAACAGCGTTCAGTAATGAAGTAGTACGATTATATCCATTCTTTGCTCCTTCCTATGCTCCTTGAAGACAACGAATCTCTATAGGGTCCAGGTCCTAAAGCTGTATTTTCTTTTTTTTCCCCTCCTCACACAGGTGTAGGAAGGTGCAGGTCTTGCCCTAACTTATGCAATAAATTGCTTTCCACAGCACAAAACCAGTCGCTGAATACATTGGTGGTTACCTGTCATAAAGTAGCAATACCCCAACTGTATTTCACAGACAGTAAGCAAGTATTTACAATTTTTAAGCCATTTTGCATTCTTACAAGACAGTAGCTTAACCAAAAGCCTCTTCAGTTCATACACTTAACCTTTACCTTTGCACAAGAAAAGGCTACACGCTTTACCAACTGTAAAGCCAACAAGTATCAATAGGCAACTATAAACCACACCAGTAAGGTACAACAGCCCTTGCTGCCTACGTGTACCCCATTGCCACGTATATAATGGAAGCTCTGTGGCAGCAGATATTATGAGGTGTGGCTTTTCCTTTCTCACTTATCCTTTTTCCCGCCCCACCCTCTTTTTTTAAAAAAACTTCACTGTCCTCTACATATTTCTTCCAGTGGTTTTTACTACCATCTCTCCCTTTCTTTTATTCCACCATCTGGCTGCAACTGTTCCATCTAAATTTGAGAAGAGGAACAGATTATTTAAAAAGCACAAAAGAACTCCCAAATTCTTATCTACATTTGAAACTTGATACATTCAAAAACTTGTTTAGATATCTCTGATTTTGGGCAGGGGGAACCACTTTCCAAAATTTTTTTTTTTTTTTGCCTTCCATCTGTAAAAAGAAAGGCAGTAAAGCAGAATACTTCCTTTTTAAGTTTAGTAACAAGATGCTGTTCAAACCCCAAAATATTTTGAAATCTGATAGCTACCTTCGTGTGGACATAATCTGAAAAGTAAATAAGGAAATAACTGAAGAGTTTTTAAACAAACATATTTTGAGAGAGACTGAGAAAAGATGTTCCTTATAAAGAGATTAAATAAGAACTTAAAGTCCAAAGAAGGGTTTTATTTTGCAAGTATGTTTGAAAGTTAGTGAGAGCAAACTGATGTTGAAGTCAGGCTTATAATGGAAAAGCTATTTTAAACATTGGTTTAAGCACTGCAGAAGCATATGATTAGCTTTTCATTGGTTTGAGATGGAAGCTGCAAGACCTGAGGTTCCTTAGGGAAAAAAGGCAGTGCCTACATATAATAAATTAAACAGTGGATAGGACACCCAGACAACATTTTGGGAGTCAGGCCAGTTCAAGGACCGTTCCCAAAAGGCAGTTTTCAAATGCAGCCTCCCAGTTTTGGAGGCTAAGACAACTTACTAGTACCGACATAGCTTGACCAAGGCACTTGGCTTCAGGGCCACAGAAATGTCCAGGCAGAGTTTAGTTTAATATCACAGATGTTGCCTACAGCATTTTTAATGACAGACTCTACATGCACAATTGCATTTTTTTCAGTTAAGTACACCTCTTACACAAAAACTAAAATATTCATATAATTGAGGAGGAATTGGTGCAAATTTTGATCATTTTTAGTAAGACAAGACACAGTTTTATGAATTTAAGCTGGAATTTCTCTTTTCCCATAGCAAGCATGCTATGAATAAATGTATAGGCATAACATGCATATACACAAACTTTATAAAAACCATTCTTGTCATTGCTCTCCATTTATTCAGTTATGACTTCTATTTAGTGCTCATTAAACGATCCACATTTCCTACCAAATAGTGCTATTCAACTTATCATACATCACGTTTATGTGAGAGAAGGATAAAAAGTCAGTGTTAAGCAGGGCAAGTTATAGAGCAATATTCTCAATACTGCTGTCCCAGCACCTTCAAGTTGGACAGAGACCTCCTTCTGCTAGGCGCAAACAAATGTTTTTTTCCAAGAACTGAAACCACAGAATACTTGGAAAGTAACCACACAGGATTAAAAAAAA